AGGGGAAAAAAAAGTGAGGCCAAGCGAGTGAGGGAAGAAGCACTGGCGGGCGTTCATGAGAAAGAGAGAGAAAGGTGGAAGAAAGAAAAAGAAAGAGAACGAGGGGAAAAACAGGTGAAAAAGTTAGGACAAGGGAAAGAAATATAAGCAAAGAGAAGGGAAAGGGAGGACTGAAAGTGAGACAGAGTTGGCCTAGCGCCTGGTGGCAATGCCTTGAGGAGCCCCTCCAGCCTGCGTACACCTCGCATCGCCTGGCAGCAGCAGCAGCAGATGAGGAGGGCCGTGGCTCCCCCAGTGCGGAGTACCACTCACCCTCCTACGCAATCCCAGTGGCAGGGACGGGGTGCAGCCTAGCAGGGGTGGCAGCATGGGGGACTCTGAATCAGAGTCCACCTTGCACAACAACTCGCTGTGGTGGCTGGCATGCGGGATGTTAGCCCTGTTGGCCAACTCTTGGATCATCCTCAGCATCACGGCCAAACAACAGAAACACAAGCCCTTGGAGCTGCTGCTATGCTTCCTCGCTGGGACCCACATCCTTATGGCAGCAGTACCCCTCACCACCTACGCCGTGGTGCAGCTGCGGCGTGAGTCCTCCGACTACGACTGGAACGAGAGCATCTGCAAGGTCTTTGTCTCCACATACTACACCCTGGCGCTGGCCACCTGCTTCACAGTGGCCTCCCTTTCCTACCACCGCATGTGGATGGTGAGGTGGCCAGTCAACTACCGGCTGAGCAACGCCAAGAAGCAGGCCCTGCACGCGGTCATGGGAATCTGGATGGTGTCATTCATCCTCTCCACCCTGCCCTCCATCGGCTGGCACAACAACGGCGAGCGCTACTCCGCCCGTGGCTGCCAGTTCATCGTCAGCAAGATAGGGCTGGGCTTCGGTGTCTGCTTTAGCCTCCTGCTGCTGGGAGGAATCGTCATGGGCTTGGTGTGCGTGGGTATCACTTTCTACCAGACCCTGTGGGCACACAGAAGACGCCGGCGGTGCCGCCATCAGAGGGCAGAGGAAGCGTCATCCTGCTCTTCATCAGCGCACACCACTTTCAACGTGCCAGCCATTGTGGTGGAGGACGTACGAGGCAAAAGGAGGTCTTCGCTGGATGGCTCTGAGTCAGCCAAGACCTCCTTGCAGATGACCAACCTCATCAGCGCGATTGTCTTCCTGTACGACACGCTCACCGGGGTGCCCATCTTGGTAAGCACCGAGTTCTGCCTTTCCCCGCAGAGCCTGCAGTTAAACTACATTTCCCTTTCTCTTGAGTCTTACAGAAGACACTCAATCTTCTGTCCACCAGCCCCAGAGCTGCCATGTCTGAATCTGTGCTGTTCCAAGGGCTGGTTTTTAAAAAGATTGCAGTCGTTCTCTCATCCAGCAGCATCTTTTTATTACAAGTCTAAGCCCGGGGAATACGCACCAAACGGCTAAAGCCCCTGAGGACGTTTTAAGTGGCTAAGAGGAATGGAAATTATTCTGCAAACTTACAGGGGGATCTACCTCCGTGAAACCAGTGAGATTTCTGTTTCTCCAGTTTGCTTTTGGAGAACGGAGACACCAGCTTTAAAAGCTGTTGCAGAGTTTTCTTTTTCCTTCTGCGTGTACGGTCGTAGTCAGCGTTTGGGTTTTGGCTGGCTGGTTGATTCTCTGCAAAGCTGGAGAGCTGGGGAAGTTCTTCTCAAAGGGAACCATTAAGAGAACCGAGGCTTAGTCACAGCTTTTTTTTTTTTTTTTTCTCCAGAGGCTGTGTCCTTTGTTAGCACCTATTTCGCTCCAGCTCCTAACGAGCACGGGGAAGAAGGGATGCTAACACCAAGCCTCGTGTTAGAGACATGACAGCTCGGAATACGGTCCAGCAAACCTGGGGCAACACCCCAGGAACAGTTTTTCAAAGGGGCACAGGGTAATTACTTGACAAATCCTTTAGAGACAGGTTATGTCCTACCACAGAATTGACTCCTGTTATTTTTCCCCCTTGATCCTCACTTCTGTCTTCTTTCTCGGCGTTGTTTCTCTCTCTTACCTCGAAGGTCGTGAGCTTTTTCAGCCTGCGCTACGATACGGCCCCCACCTGGATGGTCCTGGCTGTGCTCTGGTGCTCCATGGTGCAGACCCTGCTGCTCCCCTCCTTCATCTGGTCCTGCGAGCGCTACCGAGCAGATCTCCGCACCGTGTGGGAGCAGTGTGTGGCTATCATGTCTGAGGAAGACGGAGATGATGGTAAGCTCCTCACCACCCCACAGTCACCTTTCTTCACTAACCCCCTCTCCAAAAGACGGCAGAGGAAAGAGGGGTCTGCCATGGGGAAAGGACTTGAGGGCACTAGGAGCGGTGTTGTGGGTGACTAGGTGAGAGTCACGCTAGAGCTTGTAGTCAGCAACCACAAGAAAATTTATTCTGGAGAAGATTCTGCCACTCACTTGCTGCCTTAGGACTCACTAGCATCCAGGAAGAATTAGTGTGACACCCTTCACAGTAGATGCAAGAGTAGACATGATGTGTGCAGCTGCCAAACAACAATGAAAAGTGACATGCTGGGTCTCAGCCCAACTCTCTCATCCAAAGGTCCAAGTTCTGGCAGAGAGCGATTCAAAAGCAGGACAGAAGAAACAGGGCAGTCTCTGGGTGCTTTAGTGCTGCTGTAAGCAGAAAGACGAGGTCCTTGTTCAGAGGTGAGCCCTGAGGGCTGCAAGTAGGGCGGCAAGAAGTCTGACAAGTGTTAGGATGGCGTCCAGGTGCCCTGATAACGCTCCTCTCCTGGCTGAAAAGCCTTGACTGCCGTTCTCCTCTCTGCCAACAGATGGTGTGTGTGATGATTATGGCGATGGCAGGATCTGCAAAGTGAGATTTGATGCGAACGGCGCTGCAGCTGTGAAGCGGGACTCCCGGGACATCAAGCTGCTCCCCATGCACCACATGTTGTTGCCCCAGGACAAGGTGCACTACCTGCAGGTGAGCCGAGAACTAGCAGGGGCAGCCCCTCAACCCACTTCCTTCGCTGTCAGTCTCCTACACCTTTGTGTCCTCTTGACTCTCTTCTCTGAGAAAGCCTCAGCTACTCCCCTCCTGTTCTGTCTCTTCGAGTCTTCCATCACCTGCCACCTTCTCTGCTTTCCAGGTCCCTATCTCCCGGAGGATGTCACATGATGAGACTAACATCTTCTCCGCCCACCGCTCTGCTCCATCCTTCCTACACAAGTGGTCTTCATCCGACGATATCCGCATTTCCACCCCCCGCAAGCCTGGCGGCCCCGGCTTCTTGCCTCCCCAGCTGCACGACTACCATCACCGCCGGCGGCCCCCAGAAGACGAGCTGACGACCCTACGTCAGTTTTTGGAGGGGGGGCTGATGCCTCGGGGCTCCAGCTCCAGCGCCTGCTTCTTCCGAGACGAGATCACCACGTTCATCGACGAGACGCCACAACCCACCCCAGCCTGCAGCCCACGGCATTCCCGTCTCCTGCTCGCATCGCGCCGCGACCGCCGCCTCTCCCTTGGCAGCAGAGAGGAACCCGGCCGCGGCGCTGCTCCTTGGCTGGCAACGAAGCCTGGCATCTGCAGGACGGAGAGCAGGCGCCGCATGAAAGGACCCTTGAGGCCTGTGAGGCACAGACCTTCCAGGATCCCAAACTATGAGAGACAGCATCAAAAACATTCAGTGCCATCACGATTTTTAAATAATACTTCGAGTGTTCCCTTTGTCCCGGGACCCGATCACTAACTTGCATTCTCATCTTTCTCGCCAGCAGGCAGGAAACACGGCACCCCACGCTGGTGGGGGATAAAGAAGTGGGACGGACCCGCAGAAGGGGGCACGGACAGACGGACGGACGGCCTGTGCCTGCTCTCAGGTTACAAACTCACCCACCGCTGCCACCGCCAGCCACTTGGCACCCTCGCCAGTCCCGTCCCTTCGTGAACTCCACCCTCGCATCCGCTCTGCCCTAAGAGACAAGGCAGGCGCAGAATGGTATTAAAATTCTATATTTGGAGTGTCAATCGTGTGTCTGTTTTTAAAATAATATATTAGTGATAATTTTGTTTCCATAGAAACAAAACGGCTGGCGCAATGTTTAAGGAAGCTTCACAGGCTTCTGGAAGGGAAATGTGGAACGTGCGAGGCTCCTTTCCTCCCTCTCCATCCCTTTCTTGTCAGATGCTTTGCAGCCCAGGGAAGGGAACGAAGCCCATAGAGGAGCTGTCATGGGAGACTGGGTGCAAAGTTTTCCTGTCCGTTTCAGGGGACACTTAGGCTGCCTACAGCTAAGCAGGAGAGGCCTCTGTGCTTTCAGCAAAAGGCATTGCTTTGAGGCAACCCCAGGCTTGAAAACAATTAAATTCTTTCCAAACAACTGACCCATAACATCTCATTTCGCTGGTGCAAACTGTTGATTCCAGTGCGAACTTGGTGTGCAACACGATGGTCCAAACTTCTCACCTGCACAGGAAAACTGACAGAGCCTTCAAGGTGAAGGCTCACACCGTCAGAGCTGGGAGTGGTGAGGTCTGGAGCAGGTCCTGAGCTTCCAGGAGTTTTCCACTCCTGCCCTGTGGAAGACTCCTGGAAGGGAGGTACAGAGGTCGTGTGTGGGAGATGGACCTTCTGCCTGGTGCTGGCTGTAGTTCCAGCCGTGGGCAAGGGCTTGGTGGCATCAGGGGGGCTGTGGGAGACAGGCAGCCCTTCACTTCCAAAGCGCTCTGACTTGGTCTATGAATTATCAGCGCATTCTTCATCTCCAGCATGGATCCTGATAGACTGACCATAACCTCTTACCAGAGGTCTTGTCGGGGAGGTCTGGGCAACCCACACCAAAGGGAGGGCTGGCACTGGGGGATGCTTGGCGGACACCTGGACGAAGGATCACGTCAGACAACGAGGTGCCAGGGCTCTGCTTCCACCGGGCTGGTCGAGGGGGCCAAAAAATTGGCC